CCAGGCTGATTAGGGCTAAAAAGCCCTGTAAGCAGATGCTTTCTGAAGTAGCTGATTTTTCCCGTTCGAGGTGTTTCAGGACACACTGTATAATCGATATGCGCCAGTCTGGCAAAGGGTTGAAAAAATGAAATTTAGAAAACTGAACTGTTGGCTGTTTTTTTCACACTCTGTGAAATTTCTTGAAAACACTAGCCTCCAGAGCAAAGGTAAACATAACTGTTATGCTCATTTTGAATAGACACATATAAGCCATATATTTCTTTACAATGCCCTGTGGAGTTCGTAATTCAACAATCAATATAAATGAGTGAACGACAATACACGCAAAAATTTGATATTATGTGTGATTAGTTTTGTATTTCTTATGCTATCTATTTAATAAATTGATTTTTTCAATGAAAGACTTCTCGATAGTTTGCAGAATGTACAACCTCCAATATTCTGCTGATTTTTATCATATTCTCTTAGGCCCGGTTCTTCAGTCGCAGGTCAACTACGACCTTGGTCTTATCTAAAAGTTATACAGGGTGACTTCGAAGTTGAGTCATTTATTTTAACAGTGAGTAGATCTGATCAAAAGAAATGTTTTTTTCCTTTACCATTTTTCTGGTAAAATTAAAGTAACAAAGTTATAGCCCTTTGGAAGTTTGAGTACCGCCCTGTCTCAATGTGCTCGTGTTTGGCGACAACGGATATAATCCGTCGTATCGGTTCATCGCATCGGAAACAAAAAAGCGAAAGAATTTGGAACGAATTATTTCATTCATTTGTATACAGTAAGTGTCAGTGAATAGTTGTATCTGTTGCGTGGCTCAAACGAAATAAAAAATGGCACATGTTTATGCGGATCGGTTTCCCAATCGAGTGCAACCAACCCCTCGTGCCTTTGTTAATGTAGTACAACGGGCTCGTGAATCAGGTGACTTAAGACCTCACAGGGGACCTCACGATCAAATACAGGTCCGCACTGAAATACTTGTCGGGAGGATACTTTATAAAACAAGGTAAAAAATTTTTTTTAATTTTTTTTTATTTTTACACACATATTTTGGTTTATATTCCTTCTACAATCATTATCTGAAAATTAATGACTCAACTTCAAAGTCACCCTGTATATGAAAAAGCATTTTTCAATATCATGTTTATAGTAAAACGGTAGTTAACTTTAATCAGAATGTCATCTACGAGTTAGCTTGAAAGGCTGTAGTTAAATAGCAATACTTGATGTATCTCTTTGGCGCTTATTCAAAATTTCACAAATGCATATCAATTTATCGATAAGCCGAAACATGAAAATTAGTTACGATGTGAATGTGTATAGCAGGGACGAAGGGGCAAGAAGGCAGAAAATAACCCTCCATCGACCGAATTACTTTGATGAATTTGATGACCTGGATTTCCTTGCAAGATTTCATTTTACAAAAACAACAAAGCTTTTTTCTTTCCAGGAAACTGTCAAGTTTTTGCTCTGAATTATGCTTTTGTTTTTATTGACCAATGATGCTGAGATCATTGCCTCATCTTTTGAGAAATTTTGAGTTCCTTTTTTGATGTTTTTCCATGCTAGAAAACAGTTTTTAATAAATTTAAGCGACAGGAATCGTCGATTTTATTTCTTCGCTGCGGAAGACCCTCATTTTTGGGTCGTGGATTACAGAAGTGGTGGTAAAAAAGGTGGCAAACACAATATTTAACAGATATTTATTTGTAAAAACTTAATTGTATTTTATAGTATTTTTTGACCTGTGTAAGGTTAACTAGACAGTGTATTTGGAGAATTTTTTATAACAGTTTGTATAATCCCGTCTATAGGGTCTACTACTATACATTTGTACAAGCAATGTTTAAAAAACCTTACTTTGCTTGACGAAGATTTTATTCAAATTTCGACTATTTTATAAAATTTTTTAAAAAATCTGTCATGTATGACACATATGGCGATTTAAGGGTATGACACAAGACACAGAAGCCGAGCGCACAAAACACACAGAACACGATATCTATGAACTGCAGATACATGGTTGCAACATAAATGTATGATGACCTTCTGGTAAGTTACTGGCGCTGTCAAAATATTTGCAGAACGTACTCGTATTTGCAGCAACTTCCTGGTTATAGCTAACTAACTAGAAAGTTAACTTGCGATTGGAAAGCCCATTCATCGAGTTTCACTTCCAGAAATAAATAATTAATTACAATGCTTCTAACATATTTGTACATATGAGTAATGATCTCTGATTAACACGTTTGGAAAAAGATGAGTTCTTATGAAGGGTATTGGGGGAAGTATTCTTCATTCAAGTCATGAACATCTAGACTATCTATTAGCAATATATGGAACAGGTAAGAACAGTTTCGCTGTCCCTTTGTCTGCAGCTATATCCTTGGTGTTCAACAGTTTTATAGAGAATTGTCAAAGTGTTCATCGATTATGGCAATCTGCTACAGTAGACGAAATGCTGGCGAGTTTCCGTGGGAGATGCCGCTTTAAGAAGTACATGCCAAACACGTCAGCAAAATATGGCCGTAAAATTCAGTGCTTAAGAGATGCGCGAAATAGCTACTTTTATAATGCTTATACCTACTCCCGGGAAAGACTCGGATGATTCTGGTCTCAGTGACGAAGATACAAAGCTTTTAAAACCAAGGCAAGCAGTATTACGCCCAGCAACAACGCTTCTCAACATTACAGCTGATAACTGGTATTCATCAATACAGTTAGTGGACGTCTTTCTAAAGCAAAAATTAACAAATATATGTGGGCAGCCTAAGGCAGAAATACCACAGACTTTCCTACCCAGTCGCAAAAGAGCTGCGGGATCGACACTCTATTTATTTAGGGAAGAATACACAACAATTTCCCACATTGGAAATGTTAAAAAAATCCACAATTCTGATATCTTCCATGCACGGCAGAGAATACACTGATCAAGTAACTGACAAACCGGAAATGATCACCTATTACAACGAAAATAAAGGAGCTGATTCCTTGACGAAACAGATGGCCATTGACAATCATTTTTCGGGTCTTGGATACCTCCGTGGTAAATTCTTATATTCTTCATCAGTGTTACAAAAATAACCCTATAATAACAGAAAAGTGATTTTGGAAAGCAGCTAGCTATGCATTAGCAAATATTGTTCTTCCAAAACATAGAATTTGCTATATATGTCCTAGCAACAAACGCAGGATGACCAAACACCTATGTATTTATTGCAAAAATCCAGTCTGCAAAAACTGCACGTTAAAATTGTGAAGTTCCGGCGTTTCTGCAACAAAAATCAGCTGAGCATATCTTTATAAGTTTTATGCTTGTAAATCAATTCTTCAAAAAAAATCAGTTAACACATTCACGACGTTGTGTACCACATATGGTACATGACTGCTGATCTCCACAGCCGTCGTGTACCACATGCGGTACAAAGTGCGCTTTATAAATATAAATTAAATAATTATATTTTAAAACACGAAAGCTGCATAAGAAGCTTGGAAAAGAAGTTACGGCTGTACGTAAAGGTGGTACATGACCTGTAGTACATTCGATTCCATGTCCGATCATATTTGTATATTATATAGTCATTTTTGAGTAACTACTAAATAAACTGGATTTTACGAATATTTTCAATATAATTTTATTCAAGATAAACCTAACTTATAAAAACCTCTCAAAACAGAAAAGTAAAAACTAGAAAGAACTAGGGTTACAGAATGCTTTTTGTTAAAACACTCCAAACACATAGGCGGTTTATTGTCAGCACTCTCTTAGCTTCGGCTCTTGCTTCTTTTGACGCTTTTTCTCTTTGTAATTTGTCATGACCAGAAGTACACCGTTTTCTATTGTTTCTTGCATTCAGTTTTCTTTATTTTATCTGTAGATTTTTTATTTGTGATCAATATTCTTTTATATACATATATTTTATGCTTTTTTCTCTTGTTTTTATTGTGTTTAATCATGCACCACCGGTGGTACATGACCTCCCTGAACAACAAATATATGTCCCAGCCGTCATGTACAACCGGTGGTACATGACTAAAAACAATAAAAACATTAAACATATGTATATAAAAGATTACTGATCACAAATACAAAAATATTCACATGTTACACAAAAAAATATTACGGCTGTACTTTAACACATCCGAAACCGGTAACGTCGCGAACGTGTTTTGATTAAATTTTTCTCACTTATTTATATATTTAGGAAAAAAATAAGCATTTATTTGCAAAAGTGTGTACCTTTTTTCTTCTTTTATTCATATTTTGTTAGATCAATGCCGAATTACTTGTATTTTCAAAAAATCTAGCTCATTTGCGTTCAAGTTATCGACAGTTATTAAATAAATAAATAAACTATTTTGTGATTTACTTTTACGCTTAAAACATAGTCGTCTCTCAGACTACGCCTGTCCATTTATCTTGCTAGTGGAGTACCGGACCAGTTAAGGGTTAATATATCCATTATATAATATAATATATAATTATATAGGGTGTCGAATTATTAAGCTGCACATCGAAGTTGCAGTTTCTGTAAATGCTTTATTGCATATTTGGATAGACCCTTTTAAAAGAAGAAGATTGATGAAAGGTACGAGTACTTCTGGATTTTAAAGATCAGTTTGGAAGCTATTAAGAGTTTTGTCTAAAAAGACACTAAAGTTGACAAGCCATATCGTCGCAACAGCGACAGACGGAATAATGAGTTTCATGTCAAACATTTTTTTCTTTTCCTAAACTATCGCTGTAATCATTATAATTTATATTCAATCTATCGTTGATTGTAGTATAATAAGCTAACTTTTTTCTTCGATTTCCTCTTTTGATAGATAATAGCCATTTGCAGGACTAAAAGCTAATTTCGATTCGGCGTGATTAAGTACAGAAAGCGTATTTATTATCATTTAAAAGGGAAATGAAGCAAATCTGCCCCGTTCCCAAATTGCTCGATCTACAAGTAACAGCTGAACAAAACTAAGCGCAAATTTTCTTTTTTTTCAGTAAGAGGCACGACGTCGAAACCAGGTCATTTGGGAATCTACCTTCTTCTTATGGCAGCTGGTGTAATATTATTTTTTAATGCGTAATGATCTGTATAGAATTCGCACTTGACTTTATTCTATAGAATTAACCCCAATCAACCAGTGCCTGCAAGTGAGTACACATTCCATGCGTTGCTTACAGGGTTTGTATATGCCTACACTTCCCATACACATTTCTTTCATGTATGAAACTATAAATATGGTTACATATCTTCACGCATATGGTGTAAGTATAAGCGCGAGCTTCTGCGACGGATATTGGTTCAACTGCAGGCAATAAAATTTCGGATATCGGACACCTCGGTGCTTGAAGCATAGCTGTGCCGGCAACCTTTGTTTAGTCAAAGCTCGGTTTAAAACTTTTTGTAGATCAAAGTGAGCACTACGTCCTGCTTTGAACTGGAGTAGAATCGAATAAGTAGAGGTACAAAAACGACTAAAAATGTAGATCATAATTTTATTATCTTATGTCTGTGCATTGCCATCTCCATTCTCCTTTGTGGAGAATGAACATGCGAGCAGTGTAACCATCCTCCTAACTTGGCCACTCTTGTCGCGTATGATAACGCGGACATGAATCTCACAAAAATGGGACAGTGAATTCATCATTCATCACCGAGAAACGTCAACATGACATGGCACTCGGCAACTAGGAGCAGGCAATAATGAAGAATCTTCTTGAGGCTATTGAAACTGTTACAATGATCCATATCACTTCGCGCTCCTGGATCCTAGAGACAAAAGTGTGTGCTACGCGACCTAAGATATTCAGCTTAATCTGTAAGCCAGGTACAATATGGCAAGGACGTGAAGTTGATCTTGCCATCTTCACGTACTGCTGAATTGGCCCCCCTGGAAGCCGATTTGTCACGAAACTTGTCAAGTGAGTGCCCTAAATCTCAAGCAGCATAGATTCACTAGTCATGCACCTTTCATACACCACCTGAGGTAGCTGTTATCTTAGGGCCACCTTCGATTAAGTAATAGATACGAACTATTGATGACATAAAGCGGAGCTATATACGTTAGTTTGCTCTAGATCCTAAGTCACATCAACCAGGATAATATACACTGTCTATGACCGAATCCACAATCGAAAAAGCGTCCGAATTTGAGGCTGACGTGGTGGATTCCCACCATTGTTAAAACGTATAGGGTTACCTCTCAGAACCTGTTTTCAGTTAATTGTGAATCTGTGTACACGTTCACAACATGCTGATTCGCGGTTCATCTTTTGAAACGCAAAGGTGTAAGAAAAGGGACACAACGTGGGGCCCCGACGTCAGATACGTCGTTCTGTCCATGTGATCTTTAAAGCATCGTATGGAGGAAGCACTACCGTAGAACTTTTAACCACTATTATCGATAAATCCGTAACATATACAGGTATAATTAATATCAAACATAAATATTTTACCGCTATCATTGTCACAATATGGTGCGCACTATCTCGTGACTTAAGAGTATCAAATATTTTTATATGATAGAACCAGTATTATTTTGTCTAAACGAGAAGATAAATTGAACGTTTTCAATTCTAACAAGATAGACCTTATACTCTGAGAGTTGCCAACATAGGACCTGTTGACCTTCGAAATGTGGGGTATGAGAAATAAACCTCTGAAATTATAATTATTCTGTTATTGTTCATAGAGACAGTTTGCATAATCTTGATGTACTTTAATATCTTTTGACTGAGAACGAATGATACAAGCTTAATCCTTTTTATGTAATTCATGCTGCTCGATTTATATTTATTACTTATCTATATGCCATTTTTGATCGAGCGAGCTCAATCTCTCCACTACTCTCTGAGGAAATGTTTATGAATTTTGAGAACTAGCGAACGTAATTCAACTTATCGATTATTTATAACTTATTTCCTACAAATATTCATTAAGTACGTATGAAGGAGTTTATTTATAATAATTGAAGACACAAGTGGATAAAGGTGTCATGGAACATTTTTTTAAATTGCTTTTTTGCATTAAACTGGAGTAATTATTCCATTCTATGAATTTTTTGTTGCAAGACAAGGTAATAACAAACTAAATATTTAAAATCTCAATAAAGTAAATAAAAAATGTTTCTCCATACAATGATTTTGTTTCATGACAACAATATGTAAATTGTATGTCACCATGGTCACCCATTGATAGTAATTTTTATTTCTCAATCGAGTGGGGTTCTAAAAAACTGTAAGCAATTCATTAAGATCTTTATGCAGTACCTGGATCAAGGAGGAGTTTTTATATGCAAGCTTAATAAATAGTAGTCAAATCTAAATATACATGAAAGAGGTCAGTGTACCTTTGTCGAAACATCCCATACTGAACTTTCAAGCAGAAAGAAAAGAGTAAAATGAGAAGCGTGACTGGGCATTAAATTGTCAAGTGATGTCTCGACAGTAGATGTGGGCGGTGCTAAGTATGACCTTATATTTAAGATGAAAGATACATGTATGGCAATTAAAGAAAATGATGTGTGGAAAATGATATCTTGCAAATGACCGCCCCGTGATAACTTGCAGATAGTCAATATTTTGTTAAAATTCTCGATGACACCTTCACATAATTGCGGCTCTATCTCAGCGATTACACGGGTTATTTCCTCTTTCAATGCTTCAATCGTCTGAGGATTGTTCCTGTCACTACTTTACTTTTAACATAGCTCCAAGGGAAGAAGTCCAACGGAGTCAAATCGCACGAACGAGCTAGCCAGTTGACAGGTCCATTTCTGGAGATAACTTCAGCATTAAATTTCTACTCCAATAACTGGATTTGGTCTCGTGATGTGCGACAAGTTGCTTTATTCTGTTGAAACCAAATGTCTCGGGCATCAGCTTTGTTCATTTTAGGCCTCAAAAAATGTTGTAACATTTGTCGAAGAAGTAAGGGCCAATCACTCCACCACTCCAAAGACAACACCAACAGTGACTTTTGGTGGGTATAAATCTTGTTCAACAACCACCCTTGGATTTTCCTCACCCCAGATCCTACAATTTCATTTGTTTACGTACCCATTAAGTTGGGAATGTGCTTCGTCGCTAAAGACGTTTTTTGCGAAAAGTCCTTCTTCCTATTGCTCAATGAAATTAACGAATTCACGATGTTTTGCTTGGTCGGTGTACTTCAATTCTTGTGTCAATTGGATCTTAAGTACTTTCACCGCCAAATCCTTGTGTAACATACGCCAAACAGTGATTTGTGGAATATGCACCTGTTGTGAACGCCGTGAAATCGACATTCTTGAGTCATCTTGAACACTCACGAACTGCAGCAATATACTCTTGTGAGCGGCCTGGTCGTGGACGAATCGGTGTTTTTATGTCTAAAACTGAACCAGTCTCTTCAAATTTCCTCACTATTCTCGATATTGTTGAGTCATTTGGACGATTATGCCATTGATAAAACTCACGCAATTTACGGAAAACATTTTTATTTGAACATCCATTTTCATAATAAAGTTGAATTATATGCACACGTTGTTCCACGCTGTACGTAACCATTTTATAAATTGCCAACTATAGTAGTTTACTCATGTCAATGAATCATGACATTTCTACTGTCTGTCGTAACCTAGACAGCCTCACAAAAAATTGCGCCCATAGTGGAAAACCCACTATTAGTAGAGATACTTGTCCATCTCCAGTTAGCTCCACAAATGTGTATGGTTATCATTTGCATTTGAGATCATGGTTTTTGGAATGCCATTTTGATTAAACAATACGAGCTTGCATAGCTGTAAATATAGAGTATGTATGCATGCGATGTACTCAGACCCTGTACGCAATACATGATACAACATTTTCGAATAACATTTCTGGTGCAGTTACTGAAATAGATATACCAATTACTAATAGTATACTATGTGAGACAGTTATTTAAGAAAAAACTTATTGACGGTTTGTTGCAGCAATTCAGGTAAGCTACATGCTTAGATAAGAGATAAATACGTAGACGCAGCAGATTTGAGGGAGATACCATTTGCAATACAATACAATCAATCCAAGGCATTTTCTACTTTTCAGCTGTCTGTGCAAGCCGCTATAAAAAAGCAACAGTACGGTGGAAATCTCTATGGGTATATATCATATGAAAGCATCCACCCCACGAGTTGAATCAAGTACTGTTTTCAACGGTCAAGTAGTCAATTTCACAAACAGAAGGTTTTCGAACAACTGCGTTAATAAAACTAAAGGGAAGTGTTTCCTTTTTTTGGACTGATGTGTCTCTACAGTCACGAAATACTGTGTTGTTCGAAACAGAACAAATGCTGCTTCACGAAGAATTGTTTAGCTTAGTCTGCTGGATGTCATCCAAATGGACCGCTTTCCTTTCAGGTTGATTGACCTAAAGTCACAGACATGTGTACAGGTTTTGCCGAGTTGTTAGCAGACTCAATCGATAGCTATTGATATTTAGCACCTGAGCTAAGCCATAGTTCACGCAGCGATAGCGCGTAGCAGCTTGGTGTCACTGGACGTAACGAACTTCTCCCACAAATTTTCTGCGTTGTACTTATCACTCAATTCGTTTCCATCGTTTTCCTTACTCTCAACAGGTTATGTTTCATGTATACAGTCTTAAATACTAAATATTTTGAATTGCATATAGTTATTCTCCAATGTATGCAGCGCCTCTGGACTGCAACAAAATGTGTGTACCCTTATTTGTGTAGAACTGCTTGCCAAAAGTAGTATTAGATAAAGGTGAAAACGCAAAAAAACAATTTCAATCAATCTTAAGTAAACACCTGAGTTTCGTTATATTAGCTTGTGAAGGTAGATAATGTGTTGGTACCTTAATACCGATAGTTTCACTTAAGATTCGTCCTTATTTCAAACCTCATAATCTTATTTTCCTGTGCTTGTTGTACTAATTTTTTTTTCGATAAGCCCTGTTATTAATACCATCATCCTGGTACCCACAGAAAAATGAGGTTCAGTTACAGTACGATCTTGTTTTTCTTCGGGACCTTTGGATGTCATGTGAGAACATCAAGGTGTAAAATCAGGGTTTTGTTTCAATTATTTGTCCTTCATTTGAATTAATTGATGATTTGTGAAGGTCTTGGAATTTGGCGGGCAGTATATGCTGGTAAATATTGAATCTGTTATTAAAAGTTATCACGCAAAATACGAGTAGGAATATTACATAGAATGTAAAGCGGTTATATTGCTCACATGCAGGTCAAACCACAACTGTGATAAAAATCTTTTTGTAACGTAAAAGGAAACTTCGTTTTATATTTAAACAGCGCTGTAAAAACGCTTGGTAAATTGAAACTACCTTTTAAAGAATTTAAACGTCTCCTGCCAGCAATATAAATAGAGTAGGAAATATTACCAAAGGTAAACTCGTCCATTTGCAGAATTAACAATTGTTTTGACGCAAGGTTGCTTTTGAAGCACGAAGCTCTGCGCTCTGCTTTCTGTCTGTCATTTTAATGTTTACACGTCAACGGTTGGAAAGCAAATCTCCGTATTGGAGGTGTAGCGACGACTGAGATAGAAATAGAGCGTGGCAGTCATCTCATTGTTGGCTTGTCAATTCTAAGACAATAGTCAAAGGCGGCGCTCTTTTTGCACTGCATATTTTTATCCAGTATTATTCAAAGTTATTTAAGAATAACCTATTTCTGTTGACGCTTCAGGAAGATGCAGCGCTGAAACGAAACGGTATTTTGAAAATCGTTAGAGGATGTACAAGTCTAAGAGTATTCAAAAAAACACCCGTTGCTTTGGGCACACCCTGTATTAGTTGACCTTGTCATAAACAAAGGACAATTTTTTGTCTGGCTTGGATTTTTTTTTTGTATATTCCAACTACCACGAAGGCCTAAGGCCTAAACACCTATGGGGTACCGTGGGGCTATAGAGGGATACAGGGGAGGGGGGAATGCCACACGGACACTGGCGAGGGAACACGTGTGCATGCAACGTGCACACATTCTGGCCCCGCCTACGAGATCCGCCGGGTGGTACCTCCGCGTTCGACAGTCAGAGACCGTCTACCACCTACGGACAATGGATTCATTTTTCTCCAATTGCTAGAAATTCAAGAGCCATGAAGTTGTACTTCAAGTATTTACAGAAGATTGCCTTCCTCTTAGATTTATATTAATATGGTTGTACCATTTTTTCTGCAGCACGTGCTACATCCTATGTATACAGGGTGACTTCGAAGTTGAGTCATTTATTTTAACAGTGAGTAGATCTGATCAAAAGAAATGTTTTTTTCCTTTACCATTTTTCTGGTAAAATTAAAGTAACAAAGTTATAGCCCTTTGGAAGTTTGAGTACCGCCCTGCCTATTATATGCTCGTGTTTGGCGACAACGGATATAATCCGCCTGACCGGTTCATCGCATCGGAAACAAAAAAGCGAAAGAATTTGAAACGTTTATCACGATGTTTTTCGTCAGTCGATAAATCCTGAGTGAATAGTAGTGTGTTGCGTGGCTCAAACGAAATCAAAAATGGCACATGTTTACGAAAATGCTGAACTTGTGGACATGATTCTTATTTACGGGGGGGCAGTCTTTACAAAATGCTCCCGGATGCATCACGGATTTATGCGAATCGGTTTCCCAATCGAGTGCAACCAACCCCTCGTGCCTTTGTTAATGTAGTGCAACGGGCTCGTGAATCAGGTGACTTAAGACCTCACAGGTGAGGGCATGCTGCTCCAAGACCGCACGATCAAATACAGGTCCGCACTGAAATACTTGTCGGGAGGATACTTTATTAAACAAGGTAACATTTTTTTTTTATTTTTTTTTTTATTTTTACACACATATTTTGGTTTATCTTCCTTCTACAATCATTATCTGAAAATTAATGACTCAACTTCAAAGTCACCCTGTATATTAGACAAGATCCTGGTCATAGTTTAAACATACCTTCGGTAGTATATTAGCCATCAGTGCACACGCAAAGTTCTGAATGTTGAATTTCTATTTGCTGCACTCATAAATGGCTGTTTGCTATTGCAGTTATCAGTATCGTTTTTCCTAAATATACTAACATCGTATATTCCTGGCTACATACAATATTGACGAACCCCTTTATGCAAAATTTATTCTACGGATGGGGATTTCTATCTTACCCAAACATACGTGAGATGCCTCCCTTGAATTTCAATCAGCTATGTTTGTTATTAGTACAGGAAGAATTAATTCCTACGTAACATTCATTGGCAGTCATGGTTAAAACGTTTTTGAATTAAAAATAATTAGATTATGGACTGTGCGAGTATGATTAAGGCGCTACAGTATTTTATATAGAAATGCTCGTTAAACTTGGGGTAGTTCTGTGTATATCTAATATTTTGTATATTCAATAATTTCTTCTCTTCTCTATTCTTAGAATTATTATTTATCTTCAACCTGTCAAAATTTCTATGCATAGTTGAAAAAAGACTTTATTATTCGATAGAAGGTTATTAGTAGGCTTCAAGGATAGTACACCAGATTTCGAATTTCGAATGAGTATTTTTGTCTACTTCTGATCATAAACAAAAATGACTTTTTTAGCATGGCCGGTATGCTCTGCTGCCATACGCATAGCTGGTCCTTGAAAGAAAGGCAGTAGTGTAAATGTGACCACCACCGTAGTAATTGTTTATAACCCCACTTACCTTTTCCAGGTTGCCAGTTATAGGTAGAAATTTCCGAAATTGAGAATATTTTGCAGATACTTACCATATTTTGCTTAGTCCATATTACGACTGCAATCGTTCTAACGTCCACTACGTGAATGTTAAGTTGGGGAGATTGAGGAGGCTATTGACGTAAAACACTGAATACTATAGCGAAGAAAACAAGCTGTCGCCTGGAACATATATTGTTATTGTCAATAATTTGTATTTTGAAAAAGGATGCCGTTGTGGCCAAAACGTCAGTAAAAATTAATTTATACATATGTGCTTTCATTTGGCCAGACAATCATGGAATTCATGTTTATTGGTTTCTAATCTCACTGGACTATGCTACATGCTTTCCAAGCAGATCGGGTTTACCTCAAATAGGTTGAATATTGCTGGCGGTGCTATGTTTTAAATTCTTTAACGAGGTATAAGAGGTAACAGTAGGTGCGAATGGTGTGCTGTATGGTCAATACTGAATACTGAATCAGAATGTTGTTTATTTATTATATAACTAGTAGTAGGTGAAATGATCTGTATGTTGTTTAGTTAAAAGTTTTTTGCAAATAATTATAGATTATTAAACATCTAGATTTGTGCTACGATGTTACTGATACTTTTAGTATCTCTGACCTTTGCCTATATATTTTTAATTCTACCATATTAGTATATCAGTTTATAAGCTTACCCAGTTGACTATGAATAAAGATGTAGAAAGAAACCTCTGAATCTTCAAAAAGCTTTGACGTTGCGAGAGGTGGGGAAGTGACATGGAAAGTGATAAAAACGAACTTGAAGTGAAAATGAAAAAAAATTTTGCAATGTATGGTAAAAGCCAATACTGTGAGTGAACAGCAAGAACCTGTAGATTTAACATTTTTTTACAACATTGTAATGCGAACGTTGTTTTGCATGCAATTTTTCATTTGTCCTCTGATAACGTACGTATGTTATATTTTTACCTTCTACATTCAACACAAACGTATAAACTCATTAATGTGAGCCAATAAAATGATACGTTAGTTAAACTCAAAAAACATCAAAAACCTGTTCGGCTTTGTAGTGCGATTTGGTGGAAAATATAATCTTGTCGAAATACGTAACTGCTATTTATAGCACTCAGCTGCAGTAACAACATATAGAGGTGAACCCGAAACTTTGTTGTTACTGAGCTGTTTTTAAAACATGGGACTTGAACTCAAGGGGACTATCCTAAGACTATTTTGAGTCGTTTAGAATACACATAATTATTATCAAAAATCGCGTCTGGATTTCAAGACTGCAGCAACTTTTCAAAGTGATCACCTTCAGCTAAAATGCAAGCCTCGACCTTTTCCTGATAGACGAGCTTTTTTCAAGTAAGCCAATGTAATTTCCAGTTGAGTTTCAACCTGAAATTATCCAATTCCCAATTTTCCACTGGCGTAGTAGTACCTTAAGATTATGACCTCGACCCATCCAAGAATCCCATTAAACATTTTCTATTAACAAAAATTGAATAGCAGGTATACAGATTTCGGCAGTCTGTGACCAGAAATCGTCGATAAAAAAAGAATCCAGAAAAACTGGATACATCTATTCAATTTAAATAGTTTTTCTAATTAATAATACAGGATTTTATTTGTGCCTCTCATTTTGGAGACATTCTGTAGACAGAGAGCAAATTTGCTATTGGTCTTGCTGAGCGAGCTTTATGGGTTGCATTTAAAACAACTTGAAATGTATATGTATGCATTAGTATACAATATGTATGACTTTCAGCTTCCTCCAACATCAAAATGAAAATAGTTAACGCACATTTTACGAGGTTTCTAATTGTCTGTACTGTCTTAGTTGCGATATCTAACAATAATGGTATAAAATGTAAGCGGATACTTTCGTGCACTCCCTCCCACATTGTCCATTTGTGAGGAGATTCGTATTTCTAAGTGGTGAATGTACACCACTGTTACCTCGGCAGTTTTATATTTATAGCTGAAATGAGAATTATTAAATAAGTGAAAACGAATTATGTAGTATAATGTTTCTTCACTTGATGTACTATATAGCATTAAATAAATTTAAGTATCGTAAGTAACCTGTTGTGTTTTATTTCCATGACACTGATCTAAGAGCCATATCATCAGCCGTTCCTACAATTGTAGGACGCCTTTTTGGCATCCTTGATTTTCATAGACTTTTCTCTCCTTCAGAAAGGCTGGGATATTTCTAGATTTCGACTGATCCGTGTCAGTGTCAGCGCTCTTCCATTTCCTATTAAATTATTATAATTTCAGGCTGATATATGATACAAATCAAAAGCATAAACAATTTGATGCCATTAGATATTTGTAACATAACCTCAAAATACAGCGCTGACACGGAACGGTAGAAAACTACGAAAATCAAGGAGACCATAAGGGCTATTTTGTGGTTATGTTACAAATATCTATTTACATCAAATTGTTAATGCTTTTTGTATCATCTATTGCATCAGTCTGAAATTTCCTATAATTCAAAACAAACATAGCCTCACAATAGGAGAGCCCTGACGCTGATGCGGAGCAGTAGAAGTCTAGAAATTCCCCAGACTGTCTGAAGGAGGTATAGGACCACGAAAATCAAGTAGGCCATAAAGGGCGTCCTACAATTGTAGGAACGACTGATGTGGCCCTAAGTATCGTACAAACTGGCGCGGTGGAAATCAGATATGCTGTGTTACGAAGATGCCACGAATATAATTTGGAGCATCAACAACCCTGCGAATTCCTCGATTTAAACTGGCGGAAAAGATTATTGCTGATTTGAATGAATGTGAGGACACAGATGTTAAAAACCGTTCCACTCAGACATACCTAAGAGTCTGGTTGTGCTTGAGACATTTTCAAAAAGCCTCAGCATGCTGGAGTATATGTTCTCTCTAAAGAAGGAATATTCTGCCAGATCTTTATTGAGACAATATCTACGAGCAGAAGCATATATAAATATCTTGAATATGAAATTATCACAACACATATTCATTAGATGACAAAAAAAATGGAATCAAAGACTGATTGTTAAAACCTTTACAACACTTCTATGTCTACCACAGTTCCACTCTCTAAAATTTTCCATCCAATAATAATTAGAATACTGAATATTTGCCTAAGAAACACATTCTTCTTCCTACAAGAGTTTCCAAGCATGCTTAAGCATGGCAAAGAAAATATTTCCAGAATCAAGAATTTTCATGTCACATATTGTTTCATCTGATGATTCTTCAACGATGGTAATAACAATTGGTGATAATGCTAAAACATTAAAGAGCTTTAAACTTATCGAGTTTCATGTTCTTCCGGCACCGTATAGATCACTCAAGTCGGATTTGCATTATGTTTTCTTATAAAACAGAGGGTGATAAACTGCACTAGGACGGTGCCAGAAAATAGATAAAATAAATTCCTTAAACATGGATTTTGTTATTGGATGACTTTTTATAAGCCTTTGTCATATAACGTGAGAAATTAAAGTATCACCCACCTAATAGCGTAGAAATGATGAACAATTGGTGAATTTATCGGATTTTTAGTACCAAAGTGCATCGCATGAGTTCCTAGG